ACCCTGGAAGCTGGGCTTAGCCGTGATGGCTGCGTGTCGTTTTTGCAAAGTATGACTTTGCGCTGGTGCCCTGCCGGTCACGCGCTATAGGCTTATTCATGCGTTTCGCCACCATTGTCTGTATCGATACTGCTGTGCGGCCTCTCGCATTTGGCCTTGCTTGGTTCGTCGCTCGATTGTTGGTTATGCTTCCAACGCCCTTGCGAGACCCACCTTGTGGGAAGCTGGGGTTGAGCAAGCTGCCTGCGCACCTGTTGTCTTGCTGACATGCCATTGGATCATGTGCCCACCTGGCAAGTGGTCTTTACATGCTTGTGCACGCCATTGCGCTACCCAGTCTTTCTGGAAAGCGGGGCATCTGAGCGGCTGTATCAGGTGAGGCTTGACAAGAGCTGAACAATGTCTGCCGTAGTCTGCATGTCGCAGTCCGTTTCACCTTGTCTACATAGTTTCTTTTGTATCATTCTTGTATAGTTCTTTTGTCTTCTTGTAGTTCTTACTGGGACCGAGTGCAGGCCCGCCCACGCCAAAAAAACGTTGCAGCAAGGTCGCAACCTCGTTCTTGTTTTTGATCTTTTACCGATGTTTTCTTGTGTGCTTGTTGGTTTATCCGCAGTTTGTTGCGACCGAGGATTGCAGTTGCAGCGCCCATCGTTTCTTTCAGCTCTTTTCATGCTGCACAGAAGCATCAAGTGTGATTGAACAGCACAAGCTGAAGTCACGCGAGCATGGATCTTTCGGAGTGGCACGGCAATGAGCGCATGTTTTGATGTGGCTCGCCTTCAAACGATTGAAAAAAATTGAAATTTTGTTCATGGCGTTTGGATCCATTTTTTGTGTCATTTTGTTTCAAAAACACCATGTGGCGATTTGTGTGTTTCGAACGTGAGAGAGCTTGAGGCTTGCTTGAAGAGGTTCGAAGGAGTAAAGAGACTCTAACAGATCTGCTTGCTTGCTTTTTCTATCGAAAGAGACTGCAGCTCGCTTCTCTGGTTTCTTGTGACGCACGAGCAAGCTGTTGCACGTGAGTTTCCATTTGGATTGCCTTTGAACATGAGTTTTTTTGCTTTCTTGTGTTCTTTTTTATAAAATTCCATTCTAGCTGAACGTCACAACTGGTTGAACTTCAAACTCCCGGTTAGGGTTCGAGATGAAACAACCTGAGGTTGGAATTGGAGTTAACTCCAACTTTTTGAACTTTTGTTGGAAGTTCAGGTTTGACTCCAGTTCCAACCCCAGGTTCGGGCTCGGTTTTGGAGATTTAGGTTGAGGTTGACTCCTATCTCAACCTCGGATTCGGAAATTCAGGTTCAGGTTATCCCCAACCCCAACCTCGGGTTCGGAAGTTAGTGGAATGTTTGCAATTTAGTTTTTGTTTCCTTGAATAATTGATTTTGTTTATCATTTTATTTTCTTCGCAAAAAGCCCCAAGCGATTTCGTGTGGCATCTTTTTCTTTTGTGTTTCGATTGCGTTTCGTTTTATTACTTCTCTTCTCATTTTGTTTTTTTCGCAAAAACTCCATAAGCGATTTCGTGTGGCTTCTTTCTTTTGTCCGTGATTCTTTGCATTTTGTTTCGTGAATTCTGCTTCTTTCATGTTATTTTGTTCGCAAAATCACATAAAACGATTTCGTCTGGCTTGTTTCTTCTACCATAAAGCGGTTTCGTGTGTAAGTTCGAAATTACCTTTAACCCTAGCCCTACTTTCACCCTGTAGTTTCGGCCCCAGCTCTGGAATCCGGGGTTGGGGTTGGGGTTGACCCGAACCTAGAACCATGGGATTAGAGTTTATTCAGGGCTAGGGCGGCTAGGGTTCAACCCTAACTCCAACCCGCCCCGGGCTCTGGGGTTGGGGTTGGGTTAGGGTAGCCCCAACCCCAAAGCCCTTGGGGTTCAACTCCACCTTCCAGGTTCGCCCGGATTCTGCTCTGGGGTTGGAGTTGGGGTTAGCCCCAACTCCGGAACTGGGGGGTTGGGGTTGGGGTTAACCCGAACCCCGAACACGGTTGTGGGGTTGAGGTTGAACCCCAACCCCAATTCCAGCCGGGCTTAGGGTTGGGTCCAGCCCCCGGGGTTGGGGTTGGGGTTGGGGTTAACCCAACCCTAATCCTGGGGTTGGGGTTAACCCCAACCACAACCCGCGGTTGAGGTTGTGTTCAACCCAACCCTAACCTCAGGTTCGGGTTGGGTTGAACCAGAACCTGCGAACGTGAGGTTCAGGTTGTTGGCCCCCCCCCCGCGGGCGAGCCCCAAGGTTGTAACAAAGTTCAACCCGAACCCCCAACCCACCCCCTGCGGAGTATGCTCGCTTTTTTGGCCTTCAGAAGACTTTCATTTCTGCATGATTACCCTTTGTTGTTGCTTTGGTCTGCTTTAGCTCCCCAAAATGTTTTTGTGTAGAAATCTCAATCGCGACTTCACCGATTTTCGTGTCTTGTTTTGCGTTTGAACGTATTTTAGATGTTTCTTGGGACCGAGCGCTGCAGCCCGAGGCCGTTGGAAACACAACATCCAAGTGTGCTTTGGCGCAGCTATCTTTTCGGATCTCACCTGCAGCACCCCTTTCAAACCTTCCTTTGACGCCTCCCTCAAAACCTTTTTGCGAGCGCTCTTTCACAGCCTTTCGCTGAAGCCCTCTTTCGGTTCCCCTTCACCCAAGCTCCCCGTCAAGTCTCCCTTCAAGGCCCCCTTGAAGCCTCGCTTCAAGGCTTTCAAGCCTAGAGAGTCCGGACTTCAAAGTCTTCAGCCCTCTTCGTGCCCTTGAAACCCTTCAGGCCTTTCCGAAGCCCTTCAAAGCCTTTCAAGGGCTTCCTCCCTTCAGCGCCCCCTCTCCCCCCTTGAAAGCCTTCAAGCTCTTGAGGGCTTGAAGCCTCTTCTCCAAAAATCGCCGCGGTCAAAAGAAAGCGTGCCAACCATGCAATGTGCCGTTTTTTTGGATGATAAACTTCAATTGGACAACCCAACAAAGTGTTTTTCGATTTCCTGCCTCTTCATTCAACCCTTGCCTTCTCTCTTTCCGCCCTCGCTCCCGCCCTCTTCACAGCGCTACGACAACGACTACGACTACTATTCCACTATTGCTACTACGAGTATACTACATTGTCGACAAGCAGAGTTGGTATTTTTCTTTTTCAAAATCCGATAAAATCTTGACTCTTGCTCTTTGGCTTCATTTGCTTCACTTGCTTTGCCGACTAGCTTACCATTAAAACCAAGATTGTTGCAAGCTTGCTTGCAAACTGGCCCTCTTCCTTAGGGAGCAGTTCAGTATGTTCTAGTGTGGCGGCACACTGTAATACTGGTACTGCCAAACTGCTAGTACTATCAATAGCTTTAGTAGTTTTGGTACCACTAGTATTGCAAATATCATAGCACGCAGGGACTTGCAGGTGTTGGGACTTCGAGGACGGGGGGAGGATCGATAATTTCATTCGTTGATAATTGGCGTGTCGGGGGACTGTAGGTGTACTCTTCACCGCTTTGTTTTCTGGGCCCGGGGGCATGAAGAATTGAGCAAAGAAACTGTTTCGGGACCTCTGACTGATTCCAAAAATCCAACAAGGCAACAAACTTGAAGTTTTTCCGGTGGTCTCAACGGGCAGCATTCGATTGTCCGAATTTCATGTCAAAGCCTTTCATAGTGACTTTCATGTTTGCAAATGGGGAGGGCTGCGCCCCCACCCAACCCCCCCTTGCCTTATACCGCAACATCGTGGTGGCACGGGGCGCGGTTGTTTAAAAATCATTTCATGGTCAGAATTTTGTGTGAAAGCCTTTGCTAGCGACAGCATGTTTGCAAACGGGGGGTTCATACTCCAACCCTCGCGCTTGTTTAAGCTATGCAAGCTTGCCTTGTAAGATAACGTCGCGGCGGCACGGAGAGCGGTTGCTTAAACATCATTCCGTCGTCATGAGGCTGCGACCCCCCAAAACCACCCGCTTTTTTCTGAGCCAAGCCGGCTTGCCTTGGACAACATAGTGCCGGCACGGGGCGCGGTTGCTCCAAAAACGATGATTCCTTCGCGTTATACAGAGTCTCCTTGGTTCAAAAACATCATGCCAGAAGTCTGGAGGCGTGCTGGCTTCAAGAAATTTCATTCCCCTGACTCATCGCCATTTTTTAAACGGTGCAAGCTTGCCTTGTAAGACCGCGTCGCGGCGGCACGGGGCGCGGTTGTTTAAACATCATATCATCTTCAGAATTTCGTGTCAAAGCTTTTCACAATGGCATCCATCGTGTTTGCAAGCGGGTAGCCCCCCCAACCCCCCCTTTGCTTTTCGAATCCATGCAAGCTTCCCGTATAAGACAACATCGTGGCAGCAGGGGGCGCGGTTGCTGAAACATCATTCTGCCGTCAGAATTTCACGTCAAGACCGTTCATAGTAACCTCATGTTTACAAATGGGGGGGCTGCCCCCCCAACCCCCCGGCTTGAGTCTATTCTGAGCAAGCTTGCCATACTTCCGCCCTTTCCCGTCAACCCTTTGCTCAGTGTAAGCCAAGCAAGCTTGCCTTAGACAGTGTCGTGCCGGCACGGGGCTTCCTCCAATAAAAATTGTGATTTGTCACGGACATGCGTACATGTGCTTCTGTGTCTTGGTTAGGATTCATGCCAACTTTGTCTCACTACGCAGCTTGACTGCTCAAGACCGACCCTGCGTCAGGTCCAGCAAAAGGTCCGCTAGCGCCTGGGGGTTCTAGTGTTGCCTTTTCGCTGAGCGTCAAACTTACGGTTTTAATCTCTGATCATCCTTGCTTTGCTTTGCTGCTTTGCCTGTAATCTACGATTGGTTGCCTTGGGCTTTGTGACCGAGAGTTGAGTGGAATCCTCCGCTTTTCACAGGTTATCAGCCGTAGGGCCTCCGCATCCGATTGTGGATTGCTGCTTCGCTGCTGCTGCTTGGCACTCGGACCGCCTGATCCAATCAGCGTCCGATCACTACCGTTTTCCTGGCTCAGACCAAGTTCGGAACTTGTGATTGGCCGCGCCACCGAGAGAATGGCGACTCCGATCGGTTCTCCCCGTGTCCCCTCGACTGTCGGTTCTTCACTAGTGACGCCAGTTGCTCGGGATGTCGTGGAGCCCGATGATAGTGCCCACGCATCTCGCTGCACTGCGCCCGCCTCGCACGCTTCGCTCGCTCGCTCTGCTTCGCTGCTTGCTTCGCCGCCTGCTGAGGACGATCAGAGAGCTCAGCACCATGCGCCGCCTTTGCCATGCTCTGCTGCTGCTGCTGCTTTCGCAACGCCTGGCACGATGCCCGCCGGCATGCTGCCTGCTTCTGCCACCGCTCGTGCTTTGCCTTTGTTGCCTGCCTTTTCTGCGTCCGCTGCTCCTGCTGCTTCCGCACCTACCCTTCTTCCGCCCGATCTTTCAGCTTGTCCTCTGTCCCTTCGCGGGGATCCAGAGGGCGCTCGGGCCCTTTTTGGGTCCGGGCCGGACGGCCGTGGTCCACCGATATCGGACCCGGCGTCCTTCCGCCCACCGCGCCCCGATTCCTACGGGCCGGTGGCTGGCCGCGGTGGAGCCTCGCTCCCCGATGAGCCCATGAGCGAGCATCCGGGTGCACCCCATGATTCCGTCGCAACGATTACCGCGGCGGGTCATGGTGGTGCCGCCCCCGCCATCGATAACGGCGGGTGGCATACCGGACCCTGTGCTGTCAGGGCCCTGGTCGATGAAGCCATTGGGTCGGAAGCATCCGCGCGCATCGCCACCGATATTCTGGCGATCGCGCAGGGTGTGACCAACACCCAGGCCGACCTCGATATACTGAGGAACGGCGTCTCGGATATCACCGAAGCGCTTGAGAGCAAGATCCGAGACATGTGGGAGCTTCTTCAGGCCGAATTGAGGAAAGAGCGTGAGCTGTTCATGCAGTTTCAGGACTCTTTTCGCGAGAGGCGGATTTCTGATCACGAAACGCTTGAAGATCATTTTGCGAAGCTCACCTCGACGATCAATGATCGACTTAATGAGTTTGATGAGCGGATCCATCAGTTCAACGAAAAGCGGGCTGGATCGCTATCCATGCAGCTTGCCGAAACGATCCGCCACATCAAGCAGTACCCAGACGCGCTGAGGCAAATTCAGATCAATATCTCAAATGCTGAGGCGCATATCGCTACGGTTGAGCAGAATGCTACTCACCGTATCGAGGTCATTAGAACCGAAATGAGCCGTGCTCTCTACGATCATAAGGAGAGTAACCGTGTGCTCATCGATCAGCTCACTGCTCGCATTCAGCATCTTGAGAGTTCTCATGTCCGTAGGGGTGGTTCTGACATGTCGACACCTTCGCGTCCGGAACGGACGCAGTTCTTTGACATCAGTGACCATGATGGGGATATCCCACGTCCCGCGGACTTGCCGCCAGTTCCTGGTGCTCTATTCCCTGGCGGACCGACTACAGCCATTCCGAGATCTTCTTTGTTGGGTCCGATTGATCATGGCTCTCCGCCGGGATGCAATGCTGCGCCTGCTGAAAAGGCCTCAACGGTGCACTCTCAGACGAGTGGCATCAATCTTGATGACATTCTGAGACGCGCGCAGCAACGGGTCGCTGTTGATCATCCTCCTGAAAGTCGCGGGCAAAATAATCCTGTTGAGCCCGTCCGACAAAATTATGGCCAAACGTCTGCCTCTTTTTCAGGAAGATCTCCGATTCCGACCGTTCCGTCCGCAAATGCCGCCGGAACAACATCCGGCCAAGCTCCGAGTGTCAGACCCTTCCCTGTCGATGATGATCTGGCCATTCGCAGTGGCGTCCGCTATGACCCTGAAACCCAGAGATTTGCTCCAGAGCCCAAGCGGAGCCCTACATTTCCGTGCCAGATCTCATATGATACGCGAACTGTTCCGGCAGGAAAGGGACCTTCAAGATGGTATGATGCAATGCTTGGCCGATCCCATCTCATTGGCAGCGGTCCTGGTGCACCTATTCTCCAAAGCGAGACTGGTACCTTCACGCTAGCACCGAACGCAAGCGTCGCTGGGACACTGCGACCTGCTGCCACTGATGATGTCGATGGATGGACTATGCCTCCGATGCCCACCTTTAATGCTGGAACATCCGCACCTGCACCCAGTGCTGCGCCATCCGGATTAGGCGGACCGCCGCCCGCGCATGGCGGTGACGGTGGTTCTTTCGGTGGTGGTGGCCCCAACGATAACGGGGGTGCATATGGTGGTGGTTTTGGTGGACATGGACACCATGGGTCCGGTTTCGGCCCTGGTGGCGGTGGTGGACCACCCAGTGGCCCGCCCAGTGGCCCGCCCGGTGGTGGTGGCCCTCCTGATGGGAATGGCCCGCCTGATGGTGGACTTGATCCGCCTAGCATCAGGCCCTCCGGCCGGCCGAGTGGGAATGATACTTTCCAGTGCGAGCGCTGCACCGGAACTTTCCCAACCACCGTGCGGCGATCGTGCATATCTTGCCGATTCTCGTGTTGCAATGGATGTTGCCGAGATCCTTTGAGAATATGTCTCGTGTGTCTTGAGAGACAGACAGGGAATCCGCCCGGTCCCAACGATACGGGATTCGGTGGACCCAAGGGCGATGGATCGCTGAACGAGGCTAAGAAGGCGAAATGCAAGTCCTTCCGACTCGATCCCGAGCCGGAGCCCGCTCAGCTGCGGCGCTGGATCGTCGACATGAAGGAGCGAGTTGCAAACGCATTCGCATACGATCCCGGATACGCACTCTCGTGGGTTGAGATTCCCGATGGTACACGATATGAGGATCTCCTTGATGAGTGCAAATACGGAATGCTTGAAAATGAGTGCAACTCTGCTTTCCGTGAGTGCGTCCGATCTATTGCACTGAAGAGTAAGATCCAGACCGAGACCGAGCGCATGCATACGATAAACCGGCGACTCGGAAGTAGGCAGATCTTGTGGCTATTGTATGATTTCCTTCGGCCACATGTTACCGGCGATTCGACTTTCAAGCTCGTTGACCTAATGAAGACCGCGATTGATCGGTTTACTCATGGATCCGAGCAGGAAAGGCTGGAAGCATTCTCCAATCGGTGGGATCATGTTCTCGCTGGTATCTCCGTCGATCGCCCCGAAGACCCTGTTCTCTGCGCCCTCTTTTATGAGCAGGTGCGTGAGTTCCGCTGTCTCGAGCTCGACATGCAGCTGTGGGACAGAGACGTATCCGTACGGAACTACGCATACCTGCGAACTGTCTGTGTCAATGCGATTACAACTTGGCGCCGACGACGCAATCAGGAGAAGATGTACACCGCTACGAGGTCTACTTCTGCGCAGAGACGATACGCTGCACCTGCGTACGGCAGCCCGCGCAGATCTTCATCCCGAGGTCAAAGGGGGTCAAGATCGCCTGGGCGTCGTGACTCCAGGAAAGGGAGTCCGTACCGAAGGAGCTCGCCGAGGCGCTCGTCACCCAGACGATCCTCCCCGCGACGCGGGTCGCCAAGGCGATATTCCCGCAGTCCGGGACGAGCGGCTCCCGCACCGACTCGCCCGATGTCGCGATCCCCGCGAGGACGGGAAATCTGCTACGATTTCAAGAAAGGCAGATGCACGCGAGGAAGCGGATGTAAGTTCTCCCACAACCTGAAGGGAAGAAGCTCCTCGCCGAAGGGTTTCCCGCCTCGATCGCAATCACCGATTTCAAAGGAGTCTGGTATCTGCTTCTATTTTGCACGAGGCACTTGCTCGAGAGGTGACAAGTGTCCTTACAAGCACGTGAAGCCGGGTGCCCCAGCTGAGAGCACTCCTGCTGCCGCTCCTGCGCCTGCTCAGCCCGCGCCGATACCAAGGCGGGTCGACAGCCCGGCGCCCACGCCCTCGGATTTTTGAAAGGGGCGTGCCGCAACCCTCAGGCAATGACAGCATCCTCCTTTGGAGACTTCGCCTTCGCTTGTGTTGCATCATTCGATATGGCATGTCCGTCAGTCAAGCGGAAGACAGTATCGTTTGGGAATACTGAGACCCGCGTGATAGAGTCTTCTTTCCCGGAGCCAAACTTCGGTCCTGTCAATCGCGAGAGGAATTTGAACTATTCGTGGCCGGAAGATATCCGTGGTCTGAATAGTGCTCGCGAGAGGCGAAGGGCACACATGAAGGCTGTGCTTTGGAGAGAGCAGGTTTTGCTCGATGACGTTGATGCCAAAACGCTAGGAAATGATGCTTGTGTTCTTGAGCTCACGCTTTCTCAGCGGAGCGCTTGCGAGGTCTTTGCTGCTGCTGTCAAGTCTATTAAGAGGGTCCGGAGACTTATGCTCGATTCCGGTTGCGGTATAGACCTTATTGGTCTCGGTGATCTGTCCCGCGAGGAAAGGGATCTGATAGTTCAGAATGCTAAGATCAGCCTTAGGACCGCCAATGGAAAGACTAACACCAAAGGTGTTGCGCATATGCGCATTGACGGCCTTGATGAGCTGATTGAAGCATATGTGCTGGAAAGCACACCAAGTCTTCTTTCCCTAGGGAAGCGATGCAAGGAGCTTGGATACCGATTTATCTGGGAACCATTTTGCGATCCGATATTCTTTGATCCCAAAGGGAGACAACTTAAGATTGATGTTATCAATAACATCCCCTACCTCGCTCCGAGCGAAACCGAGGTAGTGGCTGGTCGACCTGATCTCCCTCGTGTGTATCCGGCACTCCCAGCACCGATCATTATTCACGAGAAAATCGTGGCTGCGGGTGAAGAACCTGTGGGCGAGCTGGACGACATCGGAGAGCTCGATCTTGATATGCCCGGTGCTAAAGGTGATCAGCAAGGTGCACCTGACGATACCAAGAAGGTGCCCGACAAACCCAAGCATCAGTCGCCGCCCGATGAACCGAGGGCGCGCGATCTGAGGGAGGAGGCTAAGTCCATCCGTCACCTCATGACCCATCTACCTAAGAATCCCTACTGCGATGCATGCCAACGTGCAAAGATGGAAAACGTTAAGTCGTTTCGCCAAGACTCACCACGCGATAAAGGGTTTGAGAAATTTGGCGAGCACGTCACCATCGATACTATGGTGTTGCACGGGCTTGGCAATCGCGGGAATAATGGGGAAACAGATGCTGTGGTCTTCTATGATCTAGCAACTGAGTGGTTAGAGAGTGTTCCCGTCAAAGGGAGGACGAATGCCGACACGCTTCGAGCGTTTCAGCAGGTCTTCGGCGATCTTCATGATGTGAACTCGTTCTCCATGGATGTGGAGAGAAGGTATGCACCTTCTGCGATCCGGGAAATCTACTGTGATAAAGCCCGTGAGTTCATATCGACCTGCAAAAGGGTCGGCATCTCTGTAAAGCATTCCACTCCTGGTATGCCTCGCACTAATGCCATTGCCGAGAGCAAAGTAAAGCTTGTCCTTCATGGCGCACGAGTGGCGCTTCGACAAGCGGGCCTGAGCGCCAAATTCTGGCCTTATGCGTGTAAGCACTTCTGTCATGCTCGCAACATCGAGTTACGCGAAGGACAAAGTGCGTATTCGCTACGATTTGATGGCGCCGAATTTGATGGTCAGATTCTCCCATTCGGGTGTCTTGTGGACTTCTATCCCACGCCGGCGCGGAAACAAACCCGGCGTAGCCAGAAAGATGAAGTCGTGCTTGGCGATGGTGAGGAATATGCCGTACCTGCACCTGGAGATGATGGATTGGTCTAAATCGAAGTTGGATTCGATGATGATGGTTATCTCGAGTGGATTGACGATGGAGATGGCGATCGATCTGGATCCCTTCAAGGACCCGACATCGATCAACGCCTATCATCCTACCAGCGCCCAAGTATAAGTTCTCTCCCACGAGCAAACCCGGCATATTTCTGGGTTACCACTTCGAGAATGGGGGCAAGTGGGACGGTGACTATATGGTCGCTGACCTTGAAGACTTCAAACGCGACGCATTACGTGCAAGCGTCCATCAGGTCAAGAAGATATACTGCTCACCCAAGGAGCAATGGACATTCCCGATGCTGGCTGTGTACGATAAACAGACACGATCAGTGTGCATCAACGATCCCGCGATGCATTCGAATGTGCCAAAGCCGAGTGAGCGTCTTGACGCCTCCGATATGCTCGATCTCGAAGATATCGATGAAATCTTCGCCCTTGATGAGTCAACGCGAATGACCGATGAAGACATTCGCCAGGCTCGCGAGGCTGAATTACGAGCAGAGTCCTCTCATGGAGGAGGTGCTGACTACTGGGAGTATGATCCATCTGTGCATAAGTGGACGTATCACGCTGTTGTTCCAAGAAAAGCGATGGTTCATCCCAGTAAGACTCCCGGTTCCATTGGGGAGTCGCCTGATCCATGGAAGCTGAGCACGGTGCGCATATCACATGTCCAATACAAGGACAAAAGCCCGGTTACGATCTATGCGACCGGGTATGCCTTTGGCAAGACAAGACTCATGCAGCTCTGGACCGGCACTGTCGAATTTTACGATGACGGCTACGCCCCACCCAAGAAGAAGTTACTTCCTTACCACGGGTCAGAGATCCTGGAGGGCGAGGGGGGTTTGCCTTATCGTCAGAGTGTGCCGCGTTCCGAGCGTGCATATAAAGGGTCGCGAAAACCGAATTCTATCGACTCAGAATCCTGGCGCAGCATGAACCGCGCCGAACGGGAGGGATATGTAGAGGCTGAGCGCCGAGAAGCTGAATCTCATGCCATGTCCCGAGAGGATTCTCGCGATGCCGCTCCTGTCGACATCGCTTATGATTCAGATTATGAATCGGGTGCCGAACGGCATGACAAGGATTACTGGTATCACGATGTCGCAGCTGGCACGATCACCCGATTTCATGTGATCGAACGCCGAGCGCGCTTCAACCCTACTTCTGTCAAAGATTGTCCCGTTGATCCTGCAACATTGACCGATGTCAGGATGACTATGGCCATGACTGACGGTACCGAGTTCACCTTGCAGGACTCATGGAGATCCTCCGACACTCGATCTCTGCCGTGTCGATGGACGGGAAAGACGGTCTTCGTTATCGGTTCTTCCGCCAAAACGCAGATTAAAGTTCGATCCCGTGTGCCGAACACCGAAAACACGGGGCGCCGCGTGCAGACTGCGAATGGCTATTATGGACACGCATTGCGTGCAAAGAGCCGTACTGTCGTGCCTGCCAAATCTCGCGTCTGTGTCGTTACGGATCTTGAGTTTGAGCCCCCGGGTGGTATGTCCGCCCGTCTTCAACCGCTCCGCGGCAGTGGCCTCGATGTTTGCCCGGCCATGTACACATATAATGAAGGGGCAACTCAGTCCGGTGTTGACGTCTTCAATCCTACTGACAACGATGTCATAGTCGAGCCTGGACAAGACGTTGCGGTAGTCCAATTCTACACCTCCGTGTTGGCAGCGGTTGAACTCGATTTCACCGCAGACGATGTGGAAGGTGATGTTTCTGCACCGGTTGAACCACCAGAAGACGGTCAAGCTGTTGATGCAGCGCCTGCAATGCATGTTCGCCCTGATCCTCATTCACACCGATCTCCCGATTCATCGGTCTTCTTCTATAGTGCGTGTGTAGCACGGCCCGTTGATCGAAAGGAACGTGCCGCCAACCCCAAGGCGAAAGCCGCCCTTGACAAAGAATGGAATAAGCTCATCAACCAAGGGTGTTGGGACTACGCATCCGTGCGTGAGTGGCGCGATGTATCTAACGAGGCTGTGTCGAAGGGAGAAACAGCCCATGTTGGCCGTTTCTTCGATATATGCGTTGAGAAGAACTCCGAACTTCCGGAGTCCGACCCTAATCGCAAGTTTAAGGGTCGCGTAGTGTTTGAAGGATGTCATGTCAAAGACGAGGGAAATAATTGGGCTATTTTCTCCGAGATCACATCTTGCCCGGCGACCATGGAAGCTGGAAAGGCCGCCGATGCTTTCGGCCTTCTTCCTGGTCATGAAATACAGGTTGCCGACGGCGAATCTGCATATACCCAGGCGAAGCTTGGTGGACCGGCCACGTGGGTCCGTTTGCCCAAGGATCGTTGGTTGCCCGAATGGCATGGCAAACATCACGATCCGGTCGTACGCCTCGTGTTGGCCCTTTATGGGCACCCGGATGCCGGTGGTTTCTGGGAACAGCACTGTGAGAAGGCTCTTCGTTCCGTTGGGTTCGAGCAATGTCCCGACTGGAAGAGTGTGTTTCGTCATCCCAAACTTAATCTTATGCTCGTGGTCTACGTCGATGACTTCAAACTCAGTGGACCAAAGGCCAATCTGGCCAAAGGGTGGGAACTCATGGCATCAAAGATTAAATTGGAGCCGCCCTCGAGCATCAAACGTTACTTGGGATGCGAGCATGTTACCTTCTCCCACGTCGTTCCTAGTGCCTTTGATCCGCGATCCTATTGGACGCGCTTCGAGGAACCCAAGAAGGCGTTTCCCGAGCTGACTTTTGGCGATCGAGGTACCAGTGTCGCGCAGGGCTCAGTTGGTCCTCGAGAGATTCGAATGATCAAATACGATATGCGGTCATTCATGGAACAATGCGTTTCTCGCTATGTTGAGCTCTGTGGTCCTAAGTATAAAGCCACTTTGCGGTCGGCTGACACGCCGTTCCTCGATGAATCGCGACCGGAGTTCGATACCAATCCGGATCGCCCTGATGTAAACCGCCTGATGGGCCGTCCCATTGACACGCCTGTCCCTCCTGGTAAAGGCGTTCTCGGCGATTGTGCAGCCGCCGTCCTGATGAAAATCCTGTATGGTGCTCGCATGGGGCGATACGATTTGATTCGTCCTGTGCAGGCACTTGCCAGTCTCATCACCAAGTGGGATGGCTTATGTGATAAGAAGCTCCATCGACTGGTGTGCTATATCAATTCTACCCTCGATCTCAATTTGTATGGGTGGATTGGTGATGCACCCGAGATGCTGGAGCTTGTGCTCTACTGCGATGCCGATCTTGCGGGTGACCGTACCGATTCCAAGAGCACCTCTGGTGTCTTTATGTGTCTTCTTGGGCCGCGTAGCTTTATGCCGCTTAATGCTTTGTCCAAGAAGCAAACTTCTGTGTCGAAGTCTACCCCCGAGGCCGAAATTGTCTCTCTTGACCACGCTGTGTATAAATTGGGCCTGCCTGCTCTGTCTATGTGGGAGTATATGATGGGCCGCCGTTTCCAATTGCGGGTCATGGAGGACAATGAAGCCGCTATTCGTGTCGTTATCACTGGTCATAATCCGAACATGCGTCATATGTCTCGTACCCAGCGTATCGATATCTCTGCTTTGAACGAACGCTATCACGCTGGGGATTTTCTATTCGTGACATGTCCCTCTCAATTCGAGGCTGGTGATATCTTGACCAAGGCCTGCACCGATGCTAAAGTGTGGGGCCGCAACCTTATGTCTATTGGTCATTTTCGTAAGGGTACTCTTATTTCCTCCGGTATGCTGTCTGCCGCTCCCGCTCTCCCTGCTCTCCCCTCTGTCTGTCCAACCAGGGGGGTACATCTTGAAACCGGTCACAGCCCCTTCAACGATTTCATCCTCGACATGTCTCGTCAGGGGGGTGTTTCAATCGATGATGCTCACCAATTCGGAGCAGCAGTAAAATGTATTCATATCGGAGGCGAAGGCATAATCCGATTCCCTCATGCTCGAAGTATCAATCTCAGTCTCGATGATAATGCAAAAGCGTGTTGGCAGCGCTCCGCTGCTAGCGCCTTAAACTTAAATGTGAAAGTTTTCTTCTGAATTCTTTTACGGGTGTAAGGAAAAGAATTTGGCCACCTCGAGTTTAGTAAGTTTCCACCTTTTTGGCTGCTTGCCTTTTTGGCATGTGATACTTCGCAGATTGCAGCTTGCATCTTGTTCAAAGGACTCTTCAGCCATCCGCTGCCTGTTGGCTTCAAGCTTGAGACAGGCATTGCATGTTACTGCATGAAACAGCAATGCTCTCATGACATGGTGTTGCACTTGCACTTGCAAAAATTTTAGTTCGTTCTCGCCGGCTGGGCCGGCCCATGGAAGCAGCTCTTGCTGAGTTGCGCGCCGAGGTTCGTGAGTTTCAGGCTCAAGTGGCTGTGCGCTTGGCCAGACTGGAAGCTCGAGTGTTGCTGCAAGCCCAGTCGCCGCAACATAGCACTACATCCAGCACTGCCGCTTCTTCTGCCCTAGGTGCTGTTGACCTAGGAGACGTGGTGTATCAGCCTCGCGCCTGTGCAGTCCTGTGCGAACTTTTGTCTTGCTCAGACCGCGTGCAGCTCCTGCAGAGCTCGCCTGACATTCTCGACCCTGCGCGGCACTCATTGTATCGCCTGGCCTTGCGCCTGCCTTTGCTTCAATAGACGTCCTAGCCTGTGCTCATGAACTCTTTCAGCGCTGCCATTTTACAACAACTAGCCGGAGTGTCCCGTGAACAGCTTGAGGACGATGCGCCTTCAGGTCCTGCGGCTGCCTTATCTCACCAGGTCCCACAGAGCCCTGCAACAGGGGCTCCCTCTGCTTTGCCGGCTGCGGCCGTGGCGCCGCCAGTGCCTCCAGTCCAGAGCATGGTTAAAGGGGGGGGTGTTAGTTCGGGTTCGGTTTGTTCGGATCCTCGGGGCTCGGCTAGTTCACTTGTGGGTTCGAATGCTGGTGTCGATGCTTCACTCCGTGGGGCTCTCTCAGCTTCAGACGCCGAGGGTGAGCTGGCGTGCAATGCTACCTCCCCTTCCCATGTAGATGATTTAGGGTCCTTAAATAAGTGGGCCGAGTGCAGCCCGGAGCCTTGCCCCTGGGATGCTCTGAGTGTCTCGTCACTCAGTGTGGCGGAGGAGCCTAAACCGGTTTCAGAAGACTTGGATGCAGCCACGGAGGCCGCGTGCCATGCAGAAGGGAGTGACATTAGTGACTGGCAGTGTGTGGTGACGCCGGAGTCAGGAAATCAGCTTTCAAAGGGTGTGAGAGTGTCATCATCGGCAGTGCCTGCTCAGGTATCCGTGGATCGAGCTGTGCAGCAGGCTGTGGCCCGCTTTGCTGAGGATCCGGTGGCAGCCTTGCCATTGCCTTGGGAAACCCCTCTCATGAAAGCGATATTTTCAGAAGATGATGCAGGGGCACTTACGAATCTTGTTCCGGCATCGTTTGCTTTAAAGGGGACGCCTCCTCCGTTGCCAGGGGCTTCGCGTGCGGACCTTGGCTCGGCTAAGCAGCCATCAGCTTTGAAGCTTGAAGGAAATATTTGTGAGCATGCCATTCGGAAATTCCGTGACGATGACGATCTATTGAAAGAGGAAAGGTTGCTGCACCGCGCAACCGCCAAATGGGCTTTGGTGGTTTTTCGTTACGCCAGGGAGCTCGGCCTTGCTCCTGAGACTGAGGAGGAGATCATTGCTTGCTTTGGTACCAGGTCGGTGCACACTGTCACCAAGCGTGCCAACACGTTTGCCGCTTTCTTGAGGTGGTTGGATGTTGTATCTAACTCCAATGTGTCGGCCTTTTGTGATGCAGCTTACTGGAAGTACTTGAAGTTCTTGGAATCGTCTGGCGCGGCTGCCTCGAGTGCAACATCCTTTTTGGCCTCCGTGAGGTTTTGCAAGTTTGTGTTGGGGTTGTCCCGCGTGGAGGAGCCCAGCCGCAAGTGTGTCGGCCTCGCAGAGAAATTAGCTGGTCAGGCTGGGGTTGTTAGGCAGGCAGCGCCTCTGACGGTGGATCAAATCCTTGTGATTCATGAAGCCTTACATAGTGAACATACGAGCAGGTGGGACCGTGCTTTCTGTGCTTACTGCTTGGTTGCCTTGTACGGCCGTGCCCGCCATAGTGACTTGAAGAGGGTCTCCCATATTGAGTGGGATGTGCCGCAGGACACCGATCGGTCACGGCAAGGCTCCCAAGGTTACATTATCATCTATACCAAGCACCATAAAACATCCAGGGCCACGGCGAAGAAACTTCGGCTGCTCCCCATTGTTATTCCAGTTGCAGGAATCCACAGCAGGCCTTGGATACACGCGGCCCAGGACGCCTTTGTGGCTGTGCACTTAACCTTGAGGGGCGAGGTTGGCGGTCCGTTATTTCGGCCGCCTCGGAGTTTTGACTCCCTCAGCTTATGCAGACGTAGCATCACATCCGACGAAGTGTCAGTTTTCGTTCGGCTCTTGCTCGGCCTCAGCCGAGATGCCCCTAGTGAAGGGGATCGAGTTACGAGCCACAGCATGAAAAGGACCTGCCTTTCCTGGGCCAGTAAGGCGGGTTTTGACCGCCTGACTCGGAGTTGCCTAGGAAGGCACGCCTACGCGACTGAAGGGACTGAGGCTATTTATTCGGTGGAACTTAGTTTGCCGCATGTGCAAAAGCTTGAGGCCCTCATCAAGTTCATCGTGAACGGATCCTTTGCTCCAGATGCTTCAAGGGCATTGATGTGGGCGTTCCCGCCGCCAGCTGCTGAGATTGCTTCGCCAGGACATTTCACGGTGCCCGTGGAGACTTCCAGCGTACCGCTGGCAGATGAACGGTCGGGGGCTATGGAACCTGACTCTGGGGATGAAGGGCAGAGTAGCAGCTCCACTTCGAGTTCAAGTAGTAGCAGTGAGTCGGACTCTGATGGAGAACCAGAGGGGTCCCCCATGAAAAGACGCAGAGCAGCATGTGCGGATGATAAGCGTGTCGAGCCTGAAGGTGGGTGGGTAGTGCATCGTCGCTCCCACATTTTGCACCGTGTTTATCGTGACAAAATTTTGATGTGTGGAAGGCCCAGAACCCAAGCTTATGACTTGGTAGAGGACATCACGCGCATGGGAAACCTCGTGTGCAAGACCTGTGAGCGAAACTCGGCTTGAGAGAGAAAAGTTCTGAGCTATGGCCGAGGGGCTGCGCATGAGTGTGTGAGCTGTGCACCTGAAGTTGGCATGCGCCGCTGGTGCTGTTGTGGGCTACGAGCCTCTTGAGCGAACATGCGATCGGGAGGAAGTGGAGGGCAAGTGCCTTATGTGGGCTGCCCTCCTCCTCGGCAAGTGGGCATGGCCCTGCCAAGATTCGACATAGTCGAATGATTTGTCAAGTCGCCGTGGGCTCGAGTAAATGGCATGTGCCATCTTGTGATCTTGTGATTCTCAGCTTCACCGAGAACGCACCAGTACTGTCATGTCTGATTGTTCAGCGGGATATGACACTTGTGGATAAATTAGGTCCTGCGGCGCCGCTATGACTTCGTTGGTGGAATCAGAAGCCCATTTCGTGCAGCGTGCAGCTGAGGTGCGGCTGTCAGACGCCTCAGTGCAGGCGTTGCGGCGCCACGGGTTCAAGACCTTGGGGCAGCTCGCTTACACAGTGGGCCAACCAGGCCAGTTGATACCGGAGGCTGAGTTCACCGATTGGTGCCGCAATCATGTGCCAGCAGCATCAGCCGCTGATCTTGCATCGTTGAAGCGGTTATTGTTTGAGGCACAAACATTAGCACTCACGCAGCTCCGAGCTCAGGTGACCGAACCTGATTCTGCTAGTAAGCGGGTTCCAGAGGCTGAGCGTGAGCGCCGGCTTCAGCAGTTGCGGGATGAGCTGAGTGGCCTCAACATTGAAGGGCCCCTGGAGCCGGGGCGGAAGCCGTTTTTGGGACGCTAAAAATCACAAACTAGTCCCATAAGGCTTTATAACCTTTTTGGTAGGTTTCGAAAGTTTGAAGAAGTTTTTCGAAACCGCTTCATGTGTCATGAGATTCCACTTGAACTTTTACGAATCCTTGTTGTTCCGCGCATGCTCAAACATAGGGTGGGTGGGCGGGAACCTTCCGTGCAGCAAAGTTTGTACGGGGGGTAAAAGAGAGTTGTGTAGAACGCGGGCTCCGGGCCAAGCTGTGTGAAACAGGTTTCAGGCCCGTGAACCCCTGGTGTACCGCCTCAGTGGCACATGGGCAGCTTCTCTCGTGATGGCAGAGAAGAGGACGTTTGATGCTGCATTCGAAGGGCATCTTGCTCATGTTGTGCATCAGAATTCTACGAGCAACTCAAAGCAGCCATGGGAGAGAAGCATTGTGAATGTGCCGAGTGTATTGCCGAAAGCTTTCTTGGGAAGGGGGCGTCTTGGGAATGTGCTTACTCATAAGGCTGCTGCTCCTGTGAAAGCTCCGAGTGGCCCGTCGGCTATAAATCTGACTGCTACTGGAGGCAAGCTGCCACGGAAGGTTGGACCTTCCTGGATTCAGAGACAATCGGATAACAGACATGCGGCTGTCATGAAGTGGCTTCGGATTGCTAAAGAGGGTGGCGACTTCTTTGGGGTCTGTGCTAGAGTGGCGGAAGATGCTGAAGCTGGATTGCCAGCCTCACTGCAGGAGTCTCTAGGAGATGTTTTCTCACTCAAGGCGAGCAGTACGCTTCACAGCAGGGCTGGCCCGGTCCTGAGATACATGGCATTCTGCTGGCGCATCAGAGAGCAGCCTTTCCCTTTGTCCGAGCAGAAGATGTATCGCTTCGTCAAGGAATACTGCAGTGGGGCTGCGCCTACCTTTGCCTCCAGCTTTATGAGTTCCATTGGCTTCATGCAATATGTCTTGGAGGCGAAGGTCCCGGCCGATTGTGTTAGCAGCCGGCTGGCTGGCGCAGTTTCGAAGCTCTACTTGGAGAAGAGAAAGCTGCAACAGAAGCCGCCGCTGACGGCTTCACAGATTCGGGCTTTGGAGCGAATTGTGCTGGGACTTATACCTGAAGTCCGTGCGGATGTCGATAAATACGCGGCAGGGTGCTTTTTGTATTGTGTGTTTGCAAGAGCCCGCTATTCGGACATGCAGTGTTCTGGTGAGCTGGCGAAAGACATCGTGCAAGGTGAGCGCGGACCGCGTGGGTACCTTGAAGCGAGGGTCACCAGGAGTAAAACGAGTCACAACTTGGAGCGTAAGACCCGATATCTTGCTATGGTCAGTCCGATATGGGGCCTTGAGCAGGATTCTTGGGCGTTGGCTTGGTTGGAGGTGGCTGGCAGGGCGGGGCCCGCATGGGGGCCTGACATGCCCCTGCTACCGTCCCCCACCGACGGTGGCCAATGGCAGAAGGCGCCTATGTCTGCGCAGGCTGGAGCGCGGTGGCTTCGCCACCTTCTCTATCGTGCAGGCGAGGATGTCGCATCGGTCAAGGCCGTGGGCACTCACTCCTGCAAAGCTACGCTTTTATCTTGGATGTCCAAGTGGGGAGCTAGTAAGGAGATCAGGTCGATACTCGGATATCATTCTAGTGCCAACGCCGGCACGGATGTGATCTACGCGAGGGACAGCGTTTCCCCTGCATTGCGTGAGCTGGAGGAAATGGTTTCTGCGGTCGCTTACAGGCGCTTCTTCCCGGACGCCACGCGCTCGGGCATGTTTGCGGAGTCTTTGGCTGCCAGGGGAGATGCTCATGACAAGGCCGAGGTCGGTTCAGATTCTTCTTCCGACAGGAGCGATGACGAGGAGGAGCCGGACACTCTCGAGGAGGAGAAGGTGGTTGAGGACAGTGTCGGCGATTTTGAGCCGAGCGGTTGCCTTCGAGAAAGCCTGGAGGGCAAGGCGGTTTTTCGGCATGTCACCACCCGCTTCATACACTTAGTCGCTTCTGAGGAGGGCACAACTTTTAAGTGTGGCAGGCAGATCACATCGTCTTACTTGGAGTGCAGTGCGATACCCAGGTTTTTGCATCCGATCTGCCGGCAGTGCTTTCCAGAGGCGAGGTGAGGGATCGTAGGCTGGCTGGCTGGAGTGCCGCCATGCGAATTTTTGTGAGCCTCTCATCGTGAGAGCCCGCGAAGGCGGGATGAATATGCGCACGGAATACAAGGAACGCTGTGCTCGGCATTGCAGTGGTCTCAAGAGCCCGGAGTCGCAAATGCCGCCTTGTGATTTCAAGTGAGGGTCGCTCGAGCTACTTTGAAGGTAGACCCGTGCTGAAGGAGTGAGCCATGGCTTCCGCATACTCAGAGTCCGAGCCGGTTCTGGTGTCGCGTCTCTCGAAGGCGGGGTTTGATCAGGCTGAGCGTGATCTCATCCTGAAGCACGTTAAGAGTTTGAAGCAGCTGGCCTTCGTGAGCTCTTTTGCTCCGGGGGCTGCGGACGAAGGTCCGTTGATCGAGGCCCTTAAGGCGATGCTTGGAAAGGACCCAGAGATGAGTCAGAAAGCAGCTTTCAGAGCCGTATTTCATGAAGCTTATGCCATTGTCACTTCGGAGATGCGACAGCAGGTCGAAAGGGTAGAGGAACCGACAGTTCGTCATTTGAGTCAGCCCGAGAGGGCTGAGAGAATTGAGCGCCAGCGTTCACAGTTGACTGGCATCACGATAAAAGGTTCCTCGGAACCATCAGAGGCCTTGGTCGACCTGTGCGTCGGTCAGTACGAGGCCAATGTGATTCAGTATGTGCCTTGGTCAAAGTGCACGTCGCGGGAACAAGAGCTCCTAGGCGACGGTAAGAAGGACCTGAAGCTTTCGATTGACGGCGAGAGTGGTAAGCTTAAGGTGGAAAACAAGGCCAAAGATCAGGTGGCCGATACATCCACTGAAGTGATGCTTCTGCAGGCCCTGCAGCGGCGTGCTCTTGCATTCGATCAAGCTAACATTGTCTCTTTCACAAAGCTTGACATGTGGCATCAGAAGTTGATGAAGGCGAGGCTGACTCCACCTCCGCCGGGTTACCAGCAAGTCACATTCACTCAGTTGCAGAATGCAGACTCGAGGCTCTTTCTGGAGCTTCAGGACCATACGCGCACAGGCATCCAGTCGGATGCCAAAGGTCGTCCGATCGATGGCATCATAGATTCAGTCAGCTGCATGCACGAGGTGGTGTCGTTGATGCAGCCGCTACAGGGCGGCCCTTCGTCTTCGTACGGTCCCAGTGAGCCTGCTCGACTGAGGGAGTCACCGTATAAAGGCAAAGGCAAGGGCAAAGATGGCAAAGGAAAGAAGCGCTTCGTTGCCATGCCGAGCGAGCTTCGTGGGTGCAATTCGCACACCGCGAAAGGACACCCGATCTGCTATGCCTTTAACCTGGGGTCATGCCCGAACAAGGTGACCGGCAATAAGTGTGAGAAGGGATTGCACATCTGTGCAGTCCCCAAGTGCGGCATGAACCACGCCGCTATCAAGTGTCCCAAGAAGCCGAAAGATGGCGAGCAGGCGGGCGCTTGACTATCAAGTGCGATCCTGGCCCCGAGTACGGAAGATTCGGTGGCCGGGTCTGGGAGTGGCGAAGGCCATTCTCGAGCAATCCAGGAAGTGCTTAAGGCCCATCCCGAAGGGGATGAGCCTCTTTTGAGTGCGCCCGAAGGGGCCCAAGCAATGCCATTTGAAGAGCAGGGATCGAACCCACTCGATCCAAAGGTTCATGCGGACTCTTATGCCGAGGAGCTTCTGTCTTTGGACAGGGATCCCACGGCCCAGGAGTTGATTCGTTTGTTTGACATGCTTCCTCAGGAGCCGCTTTTGAGCAAGACTCGTGACGATGGAGCCGCGGCCTTCTCGACTGGTGCCTACGTGAAGGGGCCTCTGCTCGGTCTCAGGAGTAACTGCAGCAAACATCCGGCGGCTTCAAAGATTTTCGCTCAGGCGGTGCAACGCGCTGCCCCGGGAATGAAATTTTCTACTCTGAGTGTGTTTTCAGACCTGAAGACGGAGCCTCATGTCGACCGCTTCAACTCTCCTTTCCCTAACATTCTTGTGCCGCTCAGCAATTTTCGGAAAGGAGAGGTCTGGGTCGAGTCAGCTCAGGGCGTTTTTCCTTGTGAGGTCGATGGTGTTACGAAGCGCGGCATCTTGATCGATGTTGCCTCCGGACCGAAGGCCTTCTATGCTTGCAGCCATGTGCACGCTACCCGGCCGTGGA